AAAAAAAAAAAAAAAAAAAAAAAAAAAAAAAAAAAAAGAGAGAGAGAGGTAATTGCAGTGCTTAAAAGCCTGAGGCAAATCAGTGGAAATGCTCTGAAAGGGATAATTATACCTGCACGAGGAAGACATCTGTTTAATGGCATTAACTGGCCCAATTAAGGAGAAGTGGAGGAAGGGCCAATCTGTGACTTCTTTAACTGTTCTCTGAAAAAGTGGCTTTGACATCCAAGCAAGATAAATTGGTTTGGCTTTCGCTAAGGTGATTCTCCAAGGTTTAAACATTTTAAGGACTACTGGGGAGATCTTGTCTCCAGTTGTCAATAACATCACAGACACGCTGGTGTTTTACCACCAAAACAAGAGTGGCCTCGGGAGTGTTTACAAGGAAGGTGTTACAATTCACATCATCAACCTAATCTGGCCATAATCTCAGTCTAAACATCCCTGACCGATTATTTTTAAGCGGGGGCAGATGAGACAAGAAGAGGATTCTTTGGTGTTCCAAAACTGCAGCGGGTTTGGCTATTTAACCGCTGATAAGAGCTGGAAGCTGCAGGCTGGTGAAAGCAGTGGAGGATCTGCTGCCACAAAGCTTCCCCTGGGGCTTCCCCGCTCCAACACGGAGTGGTGGGTGTGTTTTTAGGCGTGGGTGTGGAGCAGACAGGTGTGAACTCACATCAGTCACAAACTAACACAGGTCTTTTGTGTCAAAGAATTTGAGAATCCATATTTGGATATATAAGCAGGTTACTTGGATATATTTACCAGGGGGATGAGAGAGAGCAGAGTTTAAGAGGGTTTTAATCCTTATCTTTCATTTCCTTGCTGTAGTGCTGGCATTGCTTCTGGCACTGTCCTCAGATCTGGAGTGGTTAAAGAAGTTGGAGTTAAAGCACAGGCCAGAAGTCCCTTTGTGCAGCTGCACAGGGGCAGCAGGGCTGTACAGGAAGGGCACCACTGGCCTCCTCAGAGCTGTAGCACAAAGATGGGATTTTTTTTTTCTCTACTTATGTTTAATTTGAGCTTTCCAAGGCAGCCCTTCAGCAGTTGGAATTGCAGAGCATCATTTAGGCAGCAGCCAGCTCTAGCATGGTTACAGCAAGCGTGCCCTCCCTTATATAAGCCAGGGAGGGAACAGCACAAGGGCACCCTCTGCTACCACCCACAGAACCCACTGCCAAGAGAACAGAGCCTGATCACTTAAACACAGTGAGAAAACATGCAGTTAAAACAGGATGATGTAATCAGGAAAAGGAGAACTAGAAATTTCAGAGTTAAAAACCTCTAAATTTGAATAATAAGAAACTTCTTAATTTTGCAAAATTCAAAGCTGCCAAGGGGTTGGTTCATTGTCTCTTTTTCAGTAGAACATCAAGAGTGGTCAGAAATTCAAACAGGCTGAACATGATGGACTGCTCCAGTAAAATACAACATCTACCATGTGCAAAAGAGATGTATGAGAGGTGGCTGACAAGGAAGAGAGAAGGGGGTGCTCAGCAGGAGCAATGGGTCTGTTTGGTTTTTTCAAGTCCAGATCCTGCAGTAGCTTTACAAAGCCTTTGTAAAGAGAGTGATCTAGTCCAAGGAGAGGTTCTCTGAGCTCAGTGCTGCAATTAATCTTCCCATTCTATTGATTAATTGCAGACACCTTATCCCTCCTATTAAATGACCCTGGTGCATTTCCAGTCCCTGAGCAGCAGGCTCAGGACTAGCAAGGAAATATCTGACCACAACATGTGGCTTTCATGGGGCAGCCCTTTCACGATTAATAAAATCATGAACGGCACCACAACAGCCTCTCTTCTCAATCTCAGCTTCTAAGAAGAAAAGCAGGACCCAAAAAAAGATGCAGACACTGTTACCTGTTATGATTTTTTCAACAATTGGTCACTTTTGCCTCTCCTAATCAAAATTATGCCTACATGTTTATATTCTAATATAAAATCTCATCATTCACATTTAAATTAATATTTCTTTTCTCATTACAGAAAAGAGAAAAATGCAGTGATTTTAAAAGACTGTTGAAAGCCACAGTAGATCCCTGGAAAAGACTGCACATCCCATGATCCCTGATGGAAGGACAGCTCCAGCCTCTCAAACACGTGGCTTTGATCAGCTCTGCATAAGTTAAGAAAGTGGTTAAGCAGTGTACTCCAAAACTTTTTATTCTGATTCCACATTTTGTCAGCACTGAGGGCTGCTCAGCTCTAGATTTTTAATTTAATCTGTTTTATAAAGGGCTGACTGCAAAACTGTGTGGAGTTAGGCTAAGTTCTAAACTTTCTTATGATATGGGAAAATTCAGCCTAGATCTCAAATTCTTGCTTCATCTTCTCTTAGTACAAGTGGATATTCCTGACTGACAACCAACCAGCTTGGATGGGTTGTCATAAGGCACCTGATAAATTATAGACTCTGCTCCAGAATTTTGTGAATGTATTAATATTGCTGCTGCAACTGCATAAAAAGCTTATTTTGGGGAAATGGGATCCATCAGCCCCGTTCTGTGTATCTAAAGCCCAAAGTTTTCCAGCAGGTAAGTGAACAAGAGTGAGCAAATGGAAAGGGTTTATGTTGAGCCAAAAAATATTACCCAACAGCATCTATAAACAAAGGCAGGAACAGAATTAAAGCCTTTCCCTTTTTCCTTCACATCTTATTCATTCACTAGAACCAGGCCTGTATATTTAATGGTTTGCCATGGAAGTAGCACATTCCTGATTGTTACCAGAATTACAAACTTGTAACGCTGCAACTGATTGAGGGAAGAGCGGAGCAGACCCCCTGCAGTGTGCAGGTAGAGCGGCCACAGGAGCAGGCTGGAGGGATGGGATTTAGGCACCCATACCCGGCACAGAGAATGGAACTGCCAGTGTACCAACATTTAACAACCAGCATTATTTTCTTTAAAAAGTCCTTCCTCACGGATATGGCCTCCCAAATGAGAAGTGCAGCAGATGAGTAGGTTGCAAAGGGGTCCGGGTGTAGTGCCTTGGCCAAGTTCCAACTTCAGTAATTACACTCTGTTCTTAAATTCCCCCCGCAGCTCTGTTGGAATAAAGCTCTTTTTCAGCTTGTCCTGGAGCATTGTGTAGTGTTTCTGTGAAGCTGTACAACACTGAAAAATATCTCCTCCCATTAAAATTGCCCAGGGAATTTAGGAAGACAGAAAGCTATTACCAGAGCTGGAATGTGGGCAGAACACCAAGGTTAACTTACACTTGCATTGGGATCAAGGGATCTTTGCTGACTAGGAGTGTCAGACCCTTATTAAGGAGCACAAGTGGGAATAGCTCACTGTGCTGCCTGAATACAAACTCGGGAACTTGGGATCTCTGCACCTGGAAGCGACACAACACCTGGGATGTTTCCTAACAAATGACTCTGTATAAAAGCCTCTGGTGCTGTGGAGTGTCTTATCACAACCTTACTTGGTTACTTAATAATATTTATGAGATTATTTGTCTATTAGAAAAGTTCCAGAAACTTTAAAAAAACTACCAACAACAAAAACCAAA